GTCATTTCATAGAACAGATATGACATTATAAAAATATAATAGTTCAGGATCTTCTGCTGTTCTGCTCATGTACCTCAGTTTTCCTTATGTAATTAGCCACAGAAATTTGTTCTATTCTCTTTGATTTTCTCCCCCCCACCATAATTTTTTTTCTTAAAACAATTTTTATTGATCTCTTTTGCTTTTATAATGCCTTCATTTTCAAATATAGCCACCTCTCCCCTGGTTCCTATCCAGCAAACGATACTTTGTAACAAGTATTTTTTTTTGGGTGAGGCAATTGGGGTTAAGTGACTTGCTCAGGGTTACACAGCTGGTGAGTGTCATGTGTCTGAGGCCAGATTTGAACTCAGGTCCTCCTGACTTCAGGGCCAGTGCTCTATTCACTGCACAACAAATAATTTTTTAAAAGGGAAAAAAGCAGTTCAGTGAAATGAACCAAACATTAACATGGTCTCAGTCTCAGTCTGACAGCATAGGTAATATTCTATACCCATATCTTGTATCTCCTCCTTCTTCTCCCTCCTCCATTCCCCTCTCCCCCCATCCCCACGCCACACACACACAAAGGAAAGAATGTACATTTTCTAAACTGGGGCCAAGATTGGTCATTTTAGGAATCTATGTTATTTTCAACCAGGAAATGGCGAAATGTCATAATGTTTATCATAATTTTTTCCACTGTGATTTGTCTTTCTGGATTGATTTCTCTATACTATATGTTCTATAGTCATGCTTACGTTTATGTGTCTTTCTTGAGGCATTTGCCATTGTTTTCCATTTTAGATGATTAAGTCAACTTGAATATAATTTGTGAAGTCTGTAGAAGTCATTTTAAAAACGCCTAAGGCATTACTTTGGAGAAAGGAAGCTTGGTTAAGGGGAAGAGGTATGACCCAGGACCCAGCAGACTCGGAACAATGTCTCAGGTCTTTATTGTATGACTTTGGACAAGTCACTTCACTTTCCTGGCTATGTTAGGATTCCACCACCCCCATGTAGGTTAGGCTAATTCTTTCTCTAAAAGGCAAGGACAATGTACTTTAGACTTGATTGTTTCAGTGTACTAAGGCTCAGTCAATCTCCTTGATGTGGCTTTTTGGTGGCTTCAGGCCACCCCAGTGCATAAAAACATCCACTTATAGGAAGTCTGTCTCGGCCTTTAAGACTTGGTGGTTATCCTAAGTCCCAGAGCTTACCATACTCTGCCAGAGTAACTGGATACTGGCAGTGGGGGCAGTTGAAGACCACTCACTTCCTTTATTGAGTATCCTTTCTATGCTATGGTTAGGTCAACCTCCTTTTGTTAACTACTGAATGACCTCTGAGTATCTTGATCCTTTCCAATACTAGACCTGAACCATCAAGGGACTGGCTTGAGTCGGCTCCAGCCTACAGCAATGCCCTCAGTTTTCACTTCTACAAAAGGAGGAGGTTCAATTCTTTAATTTTTAAATTCTCTTCCTCAGCACTGGATGTCTGGTAGACATCTTTTTCTTTTCAATTGTCAGGCATTTGTTTTTCTCCTTCCTAACTCCCTCCCCACTCCCACCAGAAACAAAAACAAAGACAAAACTTTTGCAATGAATAGTAGTAGTTGGCAAAACAAATTCCTTCATTTGCCATGTCTAAAAATGGATATCATATGCTATATCACCACTTTGTCAGGCAGCAGGTCATGTCTATTGTGGATCATCTGGAGATACTAAGAATTTATGACAATTGTACTTAATGATGACATGAGTGAGGAAGATGATGGTAAAAATTATTTTTTCCCAAAGGTCTAACTCACATAACAATGGTGAATTGCAATGAAAATATTGAAAATACATAGCTGCCGTATTATGTTATCGACAAAGGTGAAACAGACTAGAAATTTGAAGTAATTTTCACATAATAATGACAAAAAATTATAAAATCTTACAGTTGGAATGTATACAGCAAACACCCCCCCCACCCACACACCCACACCCACACCCACACACACACCCCCCCACACACACACACACACACACACACACACACATACACACACACCCCTACAAGGTTTCTTTGGAGCCTGAGTTATAAAGATGGGCTTTTAAAAACTCATCATAACAAGTTCCAAAGAGGAACTCAAATCAAGGAGAAAACTTAAAAGGCTTAAATCAAGGAAAAAGCTTTCTAGCATAATGAGGATTGGCATGTCAGCTTGCCTGACTGAAGCAAATCCCCTAACTGGAAGAGGCTAGGGACCTGGCTTCTGGGACTCCACTGTCTCTCTTGACCATTTGAAATTCATGAGTTCAGAATCTCCAATCTCCTCAGCTAGAACAGAGAAGAACAAACATAAAAGCCAAGGACGAAGGCCCATTTCAGCTATGGTGGGGAGAGACCTTGAGCTTTCCCTAAAGCTGTTTGTGAAGGAGTCAGACCAAGAGTAGCTGAACAGAATGATGTCAAAGGGATTAGGCTGAGGCTAATGACTTTTTGAAGACCACTCACTTCCAGCTATATACCTCCCACCTGTATGACCACTCCTTCTCCATCTCCTTTGCTGGATCTTCTTCCAGATATCATGCCCTCCAATCACAGGTGCTCCTTAGAGTTCTGTCCTGGGCTCTCTTCTCTTCTCCCAACATGCTGCTTCACTTGGTGATTTTGTCAGTTCTCATGGATTTAATTACCACCTTCATGCTGATGATTCTCAAATTTACAATTCCTGCACCAAGTTCTCTGATGGTCTCCAATCATATCTCCAGCTGCCTTTTAGACATCTCCAACTAGATGTCCAATACACATCTTCTTTTTTTCAATTGTTGAGTATTTAGTTTTCTCCTTCCCATCTGCCTCCTCTGCACCTACCTGGGAAACAAAAACAGATACAAAACTTTTGTAATGAATAACAATAGTCAGCAAAACAAATCCCTTCATTTGCCATGTCTAAAGATGGATGTCAAATGCCATATTGCCTCTCTGTCAGACAGTATGTCATTTCTATCCTGGATCCTCTGGACTCATGAGTGGTTACTATATTGTTCAGAATTTGTATGTCTTTAAAATTTTTTAGTTATTACAATGTTGATGTTATACTATAAATTGTTCTCTTTTTCCCTCCAGGCAATTGCAAAAAACTAAGTTTTCCAATATCCTAATCTATAGCATATAAGGACCAGAAAATTCCAATGTATAGAGAGGAGAAGGAGAAGAGTGTCTTTACTGGAGCTATACACCATGACAGCAGCAAGAAGTAAGAGCTGAGATGAGGAAGAAAAATTTCTTTAAAAAAATATTAAACTAATATATAGATACGTGACACATCACACCTATCAAATTGGCTAATATGACAAAATAGGAAAATGATAAATGTTGGAGAAGATGTGGGAAAATTGGAGTACTAATGCATTGTTGGTGGAGTAGTGAACTGATCCAACCATTCTGGAGAGCAATTTGGAACTATGCCCAAAGAGCTATAAAACTGTGCAAACCCTTTGATCTAGCAATACCACTACTAGATCTATATCCCAAAGAGATCATACAAATGGGAAAAGGACCCACATGTACAAAAATCTTTATAGCAGCTCTTTTTGTGGTGGCAAAGAATTGGAAATTGAGGGGATGCCCATCAATTGGAGAATGGCTGAACAAGTTGTGGTACATGAATGTAATGAAATACTATTGTGCTATAAGAACGGATGATCAGACAGAAGTCAGAAAAAACCTGGAAAGACTTAAATGAACTGATGCTGAGTGAAGTGAGCAGAACCAGGAGAACGTTGTACACAGCAACAGCCATAGCAACATTGTGTGATGACCAGCTTTGATAGACTTAGCTCTTCTCAGCAATGCAAGGATCTAAAACAACTCCAAAGGACTCATAATGAAAAATGCTGTCCACATCCAAAGAAAGAACTATGGAGTCTAAATGCAGATCAAAGCATACTATTTTCTCTCTCTCTCTTTCTCTTATTTTTGTTTCTCATGGTTTTCCCCTTTTGTTCTGATTCTTCTTTCACAGCATGACTAATGTGGAAATATGTTTAAATGATTGTACACGTATAGCTTATATCAGATTGCATGCCGTCTTGGGGTGGAGGAAGGGGAAGGAGGGGGAAAATTTAGAATTCAAAATGTTATAAAAGTGAATGTTGAAAACTAAAAATAAACATTATGTTCCTTGAGAAGTTCCTTGAGAACAGTGACTCTTTTTTGTGTTTCTGCCTTTATGGTGTCATCTTGCACAGTGCCTTGCACACAGTAGGTGGCTATTAAATGCATGTTGCATTTGATCAGAGACAAACAACCTACCCAGAGGAAGCAATGTCGTTGAGTGGAAACATCACCAAACTTGGAGTCACAAGTCCAGGGTCACATATGTATTTCTCACTAGCTATATGGTCTTAGGCAAGCCACTGAATTTCTTTAAGTCTTATTTTCTGCGTCTTTGTAATATATCAAGGACTAGTGATTTCATTGTGTGGGAATTTCCTTCATAAAGAAACTTGCTTAAAGTTCAGAGACATTAAATGATTTCTCCAAGGTTATGCAAATAGCAAGTGTCAAAGGCAGAGTTTGAACTCATAACTTACTGCAGATCTAGTCCACAGTGCAGCTAGTGGATACACTGTGCCATGATGCTTACCATTTGTCTTTATATAAGAGACAGCCGCTCCTGCTCTGTCTGCCACATAGGACTGTTAGAATAAAAATAGATAATGTACACGAAAGTATCATCATTACAGAACATTAAAGGACCTCAGAGAGCCTGTAGTTCAAATGACTTATTTTATAGCTAAGGAAATAGACACCCGGAGAGGTAAAGGGATGAATAAACATAGTCAAATGAGTAAAAGGCAGAGCCAGGATTCAAAACTAGCCTCTTGACTACCATCCATATGATCTTTTTTTCCCTCTTATTTTATTTTTTCTCAATTACACGTAAAAAAAAAATAACATTCGTTTTTTAAAATTCGAGTTCCAAATTGTCTTTCTCCCCTCTCCCTTCCTTGAGAAGGCAAGCAGAAAACAAGGAACACTTCATGGATTTACATGTCATCCTTGTAAAGAGGCCATGCTCATCTTCTTTGTATCAAGCACTCCAGCAGACATCTTAAACTAAATATGTCGAAAACTGACCTCATTATCTTTCCTCTTAAACCCTTATCTCTCCCACCCCCCACACCTTCCGTATTACTGTGGAGGGCACCATCATCCTCCCAGTCTCCCAGGCTTACAATCTAGGTATCATCCTGGACTCCTCACTGTTTCTCACCCCCCCCAACATATTCAAAACTTGCCAGGGTTTATTGATTTCACCTCTGCAACATCTCTTGAATATGCCCCGTTCTCTCCTCTGTCACTGACATCATTCTGGTACAGACCTTTATCGTCTCATGCCTTCATTATTACAGCACTCATCCATCCTCCATTCAGACACCAAAATGATTTTCCTAAACTCGTGTGTCTCCGTGACACACCCCCTCCCCTGTTCAATAAACTCCATTGGCTCCCTGTTGCTTCCAGGATAAAATACAGAGTGCTGTTCGGCATTCAAAATCCTTTATAACCTAGCCCCCTCCTACCTTTCTAGTCTTCTTACATATTACTCCCAGACATGTATTCCTTGATCCAGTGACACTGGCCTCCGGTCTGTTCCATAAACAGGACACTGCATCTTTCAGCTCTGGGCATTTTCTCTGGTGGTCCTCCGTGCCTGGAATGCTGTCCCTCCTCAACTTCACCTACTGACTTCCTTGTCTTCTTTTCATTCCCAACCAAAATTCCTGTTTTACAGTAAGCCTTTTCCTTTTTTCTTAATTCTAGTACCTTCTTTCTGTTATTTCTTATTGCTTTGTATGTATTTGTTTGCATGTTGTCTCCTTTATTAGATTGTGAACTTCTTGAGTGCAAGGACCATCTTCTGCCTCTTTTTCTGTCCTCAGAATTTTGCACACAGTAGGTGCTTAATCAATGTTTATTGATTGAATGATTGATATAGGCAATATAAAAACCTCCTGACAATGTGCTTAGCAGACCGGAACCAGTTACACAATGTTTATTCATGCTTAATTCTCTCCATTTTAAGACATTATCACTGTCCTGGAATCATAAGCCCTAGGCTCTTCCACTTGGGGAACTTTTATCAGTTCAGTTTTTGACATATTCTGTGCTTGTACATGTCCTCATTATGCTAGTGACTAGAGCAGGAGAACTTGTGGCCTCGAGACCATGTGTGGTTCCCCACAGGTTCCCCACCCTTGGACTAGAGTGACATTAAAGTGGAATTATCTACTTTGGTGGGCAATTGGTTCCTCCTCAGGAGGCCCAAGGACCTCTTGTCAGATATGTTGGAGAGACATGTCTTGGTCAGATACAGGTCAGTGTAGATGGCCTCTGAGGTGCTTTTCAATGCTGAGATTCAGTGATCAAATTCATTAGACAATTTTGATGCCACTTGTAAATATGGTCTCTGTTTTCCTTGTTTCTGTGTCCCTCATAGTAGTTAGCATAGAGTAGGCATTCAATAAATATAGAACTCTATACTGAATTTTGTTTGTTTAGACATAAGCGATTCAAAGAAACCTCAGTTGGGGACAATTTCTTTGCCAAGAAAACCCTAAATGAAGTCATGAAGAGTCAGACATGACTGAAACAACTGAACAACAGCAATAGTGCTTCAGATACTTATTACCTAGATGACCTTGGGGAAGTCTCTTGACTTCCCTGCTCCCCAGTTTCCTCATGTATAAAGTGAGGGAGTCAGACTCAATGACTTCTAAGATCCATTCCAGATCTAAATTTATGTTTCCTTGATATATCCCTGTTGCCCTTCATGTCCTTTTTTCCCTTTATCTTGTGTACCTGCAGATAGACCATGAGTGAGAGTTTATGGGAGCATGGGAAAGTTTATGAACAGAAGGATGTGAATGAACCACCAATTGCCACACTCAACACTGCTTTTTTCCTGTATGGATTCCTTTCATTGGCTTTGCTTGCCATCTGCCTTTCTGCTCCTCTCTGGAACACTGTGCTTGGGCTCCAGTGCTTTCCAGGACTTACCCTCTTGTTGTGCATTGACTGTAAGCAAACATTTAAGTTTTGGAGCTGAAAGGTTCCCCAAGTCAGATCAGCCCATTTACAATGAAGCACATCACTCAGGTGGATCAGTTGGAAGGAACAGGAGGAAGAAGCAGTGTCTCCCTGGTGCATTCAAGCCAAGCAGTGTTGGCTGGAGGAAATGTAGCATTCAGAACTCTCACTCCAGGGGGAAGCCCAGCAAGGAAATATCATTCCAAATATACAGCAGTTTTCTCTGCCCAGATTGACTGTGGAAAACCTCTCATTCACTGCAGCAACCCATGTAGGCTATGAATTATTTTATTGAGGCACATTTAATGCTTTCCTGTTGGAAAAGGAGGAACTTATTAATTATTTTGACTTTAAAATAATTAAATCAGGTTCTGTCAGGCTGACATGGTTTTGCTCTGCAGGCAACTAGAATCTTTCGGAGCTGTGAAGCATTTTTTCTAGTCCCATATGCTTGGCTACAGGTGAGCCAGTTGGTAAATGTGTGACACCTTTTAATTACACTTCATCACAAGCTGGAACTTGTCTGATGGCTTACTTTATCGTTTACTGTGCTTTCATGCAAATCAAATAAATTAGGGTGAACTTAGGGTCCCTGGGATGTGGGGTTCCTGAGTTTTCACTCTTCTATGTGGTGTTTAGTGGGTTCAGACCTTGCTCCTTCTGGCACTCCAAAGGTACATGACTCCTGATTCTTTTGGATGTCAAGAGTAAGGGAACAGCTAAGGTTGGCTACTGATGCACAGGCAAGGCTTGGAAGAGCGTTACGAAGCAGACCCCAAGAAAGGAATGGCAGATAGGTGGTCAAAGAGATATGGGAACCAATATGGTTGTCCTTGCTCATTTACCTTTAGTCCTCATTTCTCTGCCTGCCCTTGTCATAAACTCTACCGCCTTCCATAGGTGTCCACTTACCCTGGGCTGGAGGCTATGCCAGGTGTTCAAAGGAACACCGTGTACCCAAGTATCCAACAGAATGAAAACAAAGTTGTAGCTGAAAGTAATGTCAATGAAATTCCTTCCAACAAACAATTCGGTGTTGACTATGGGCAAGTCACACACTGGGCATGAAAAAAACAACAACAACAACAAAAAATAGTCCTTGTCTTCAAGGAGCTTATATTTTCCTAGGAGGGTACAATCTGTATTTAGATAACTACAAAACAACTTTGAGAGAGAGCGATCACTAACTGAGGGGATCACAGAAGGCCTCAAACGTAACTTGGAACACAGTTGACACTTAATAATTGTTTTACAATTTGAAAGGGAAAATGACACAGGTACAGGTCTGCAAAACTGCCAAAGAATTTCAAAGAATGTATTTTGAAATGATTCCAGCAATTTTGAAACTCAAAGCCTGCTTTTCCTAGCACTGTGCTTCTTCCCAGCTCAATAAACTTCGTTGGCTCCCTGGTAGCCCCATGATCAAATACATATAATCCTTTGGTTAATTAAAGCCCTTCAAAAACTGGCCTTTTCCTCCTTTTTTACTCTTATTACCCTTTATTCCCCTCTATGCGCTCTATGACCCAGCTAGCAAAGTAATCATGGGGTTAAAAGAAGAATATTGGAGGTGGGGAAGACACAAGGCAAAGTGTAGGGAAGACCATCTCAAACTCTATGGCTTGTAGAGATTGTAAACCCAGAATCCTAGAATTTCCGAGTTTGAAGGGACATTGAGCCTGACCTGCAAATGAAAACTATGTCTCCTACGTGTAATACATCCCCTAAATGGTCATCTACTCTTTGTCTGAATATAGGTTCTGGCACACCTGCAGGAACTTAACAAATGCTTATGGAAAGGAACTGCATGGAATACTTCCAGTGAAGGAGAGCTTTCTACCTCTCAAAGTGATCCATCTCACCTTTGGATAGTTCTAACTGTTAGGAATTTTTTTCCTAGTATCGAAGCTAAATTTGCCTCTGTAACTTCCATCAGTTGCTTCCTGTTTTTCCTTCTGGGGCCAGGCAGAACAGATAAGCTCCCTCGTCCACATGACAGCCCATCAAATACTTGAAGGCAGTGTTGTTTGCCTCCCTGACTCCCAGCACACATCTTTCCACTTCAGGCTAAACATCTTTGGTTTCTTTGAATGATCCGAATTTGGAATGAACTCGAGGCCTTTCACCATCCTGATTGCTCTCCTCTGGTTGCTCTCTAGTTTTGTTCTGAAATTTCATTCAAACAGTTAATGCCTAGCTTCCCAACAACATGTGGTGCTGTTTGTTCCCTAGAAACTCCAAAGCCAGACCCTTACTTGAGTCTTAAAAATCTCCATGAGTAGAATCACTTATTCATCCTAACATACCTGAAAACTTCAGTTTCTTTTTTGATTTCCCCAAGTTAATAGCAGGATCCCAACACATCCTATATTTCCTGAAATGTTAAAAAGAAATTGGCATTCAGAAAGTCCATGTCTACAGAGAACTGCCCTATATGCACCTGTCAAATTCAGCACACCCTTTTCTGTACAGAAGGTGGGCAGCCTAGTTATAGTTGTTGCTAAGCTAACCTTGGTTTACATTCTGAAACTCTTCAAAAGACATGGTTGTCTGGAGAGTGACATCTCTTTTTATGTTTATCTTGGGCAGGCTGACATTTAGTGTTCTACCTGCCTGCTCTATGGATATATGCATTCATGGCTTTCATAATTGCTACGTATTTGTACCGCTGAACTGTAGCTTTCCATCTCAGCCTGAGACTTGGAGAGCTCAAGGACAGCTTTGAATTGAACACATCATGTAATAGGCGAAAAATCAAGAGAAGGGGGAAAAAAAGACATGTAATTTCAGCGAGGGGGAAAATAGGCACTTGCAATGAAATTAAATGTTTGGTGGTTTTCATTTGGCCCCTAGTGGATAATTCTCATTGTCACGTTGAATTGGTAGGCTTTGCTTAAGCAAGAGCCAGGACTGAATGGCCCTGGAGACAAAATTACCTCCTAGCTTTGGAAATGGAGTTTGCTTCAAGCCAAAATTGAGATGAATTCGTGGTGTACTGACGGAAAACTTGGAAACATTTGCCCACATGGTACCAGGA